GATGAATATCTTGTCGACTAAATTTATGTTAGTAATGGTCGGATAGGCTCTGATGTACCTTGATTAAACTTTATCAACTATTACATAAAACATGTCCCCATTGAATAAGCTGGATTTGAACTGTATGGCGGCGACGTATACTCAGTATGTTTCGAAAATAATATCGCTAGTGACATTCGTTTGTCTCGTAATGTATGGTCAACAAGGGATCCAAAAGATCACGACGTTTCGTGTGCCGCTGCTACACTTCGTCAGGTGATTAACTATATTGTAAGCGAAGTCTAGCTGCGGCCCACGAAACGTCGTGATCTGTTAGATCCCTTGTTGACCATACATTGCGAGACAAACAAATGTCACTAGCGATATTATTTTGTCACTAGCGATATTATTTTCGATACTGATCCGCAATGAGTAATATTTTTAGCATTACTCAGTATGTTGTTTAAAACTATTTATCCCCCAAAAAAATTATCCAGGAGTGTGCAGCATATTTCACTACATGCAATGGTCGAATATATGGCGCGCCTCCAACAGAACCGAAGCATGTGAAAACCTCGACACATTTTCGTACATATTGATTTAGAATGTGTTATACGAGGTGAGAAAAATGCATATATTCAGTGTCTGTGATTGCAACCTTGAAACGTTTGCTATCAATAGGCCTACAGTACAACGCTATTTCTCCAGCTACATACAGGCCCCCTGGAACGTTTTTCAAAGAGAGGGTATTTACGATTAGGTAGAGCCAGGGAGGTGAGACTTTCCCTGGTAGAGTGTAGCGAGCGGAGCGTAAATTGGCGCGGGGTCCAGGGGCTCCAAAAAGCTCAGGGGTTTTATGCACTTAATTACGGTCAGATGAGCATATTTGTACACCTTATTTGTGACACTGGCAGGTCACTATAGTTTAGTTTCATGACGTAAAAAGGGGAGGTTCTAGCTTTAATGCTAAGGGGGGGGGGGGGTGCCGGTTTGACCCACTGACGATCCGGATACTGTGTAGATCTGGACATATGAAGGCGTTTTTGTATGCACATCACATTTTCACTTGGCAGCCCAAGGGGGGACGGGGGGTTAAATCCCCTACACCCCTGTAGATCCGCCACTGGTAACTCATGATCTGTAGCAATATCTCATTAAAATGAGAAGCTTGCTGAAGATTAGAAAATTGGAATATAAGCATGAGTTCTGGTAATGGTAGAAAATAAATTCTCACAGAATCTAACAAAAATTTCACCGAATGTCCAAGATTACAAATAAATGGCATGCGTGCTCAACGATTTCGGTAGAAAGTGTATAGGGGCTGAGTAATGCAGGGGCGAATCAAGCCGGCGACACGGGAGGGGCCCCAATTTGTGAGAAAATATTTAGCGGCGAAATAGCCGGCCGATAATTCGTTCAGTGGGGGGGGGGGGGGGGGGGGTAGTGAGCACTTTTTTTTGTTGGCCCTCGGAAATTTAAAAAATCGCACCCCCCCTCGAGCGCCAGGGAGAGGGGCCCATTTCCAAAAAAGGTAAAAATTAACGCGTTAATTTGTAAGAGGGCCCCTTCCCCTTTTCACCTCTGATAAGTGCCCCTTTTTGTCTAACACGTGCTCTTTTTCCTTCGAAAAGTTCGCCATTTTTCATTTCTGGTCATTTTCCCTTTTAAGGTGCAATAAGTGCCTCTTTTTACCTCTGATAATTTCCCTTTAAACAATGATACATGCCCCTTTTCCTTTCTTATAAAGGACCTATCCCCTTTTCATAAATGCCCCTTTTCACCTCTTATTAATGCCCCTATCAAAATCTGATAGGGGCCCCTTTTCCATCGACAAATGCCCATTCCTATTCTCATGACTGTCTTTTTTTCAACCCTGGTGAGTGCCTCTTTTTGAAGGTGTGAGAAGTGCACCATTTTCAACTCTGATAATTACTCTTTGTACTTTGACACGTGGTCCTTTTCTTTTCTGATAAGTGTCCATTTTTCCTCTCATCATTAAACGCGCCCCTAATTTCAAGCGACTTAGAGCAATTTCCCCCCAAAGTCGCTCGCAATGCTCGCACGCATTTATAGAAGATATACTCATGTTACTTATCAAAGGCCTTTCAGTCTTCCGTTATGAGAATGTGCTTATAACCCCATCAGGATTGGGCTTTTTCCTTTTATAAGATGTAATTTTTCGCACTGCGACCTCACAAATATTAAAATTTTCCTTTCTCGCTTTGTTCGCTCTGCAAATAAATTGTCAGGCCATCACACCCAACTGCAAAGTATGAAGCATACTTATACAATATCTTGTATAGAGTATAAAGTGAAAGAAATATTGAAATCATCCCTGATAATGTAATCACAAAACGGTAGGGGTAAATATATTAACTAAAAAATTGTAAATTTTCGCTTTGAGATTTCCCTTTGAAGGTGCCCTTTTTCAAGAAAGCGCCCTTTTTTCTTGGTGCCCCCCCCCCCCCCCCCCCCCCCCCCCACTTTGGAAGTCACTCGGCCGCCCCTGTGTCTAGGGAGAGACAGATAGGAGACAGATAGGAGAGAGAGAGAAAAGAGAAAAAGAAAGGGGGAGGGAAGAATTTCATTCATTTTGTGAAAAGAGTGCACTTCTGGGGATGCCATTTTCATTTAGTTCCATTTAAAATTATTTCTTATGCTGATGATATTTATTATATTTTTGTCACTATTCTGTTTTCACCCTGGTTTTGTTGATTTTGTGGTCAGCCAACGAAAGTATAACATCAATTCAAAATTCATGTCCGTTTTCTGTGAGTTACTTTCCTTTCTTCTAATTCACGAATTGACGATGTCCAGTCGACCAGTCCAGCCATGTTTATGTCAAGTCAAGTGTCTATGTAAATGTTTAAACAACCATCAAGATGTCAATGAATTATATTACTTGCTTAAAGTTTACTTTCTTCAAGCCTACTCATATGCACTGATTCGGGGCACTGATATTGATGATTTGACATCTGCCTCGACGTTTTCGTCGTCGATGGCTTATAATTTCTTTTTTTATTTGCCTGGTTGGGGAGAGACTTCATTTCACAGCGCGCGCCATTTGACAGAAAAAAAATTTGACCTCAAGTTGCAAGTAAGTGAATGCTACAAATAAAATACCTTCATATATGTTGTGAATGTGATTTTAATATTACGTCAATAAATAGATGGCCATTTATTATTTAGGATTCACGTGTAAGTACTAGTCTACATAAGAATCAAAAGGACATTTTTTGTGTGAATGCCCCCACATACCCAATTTCGTGTATAGTAGCGCTGACGTTTATGTTGGGATTGTTGCAGCGATTTTCCATCGGGGGTGGGGAGGCCGGAGGCGCGGGAAGAGGACTTTTAGTTTTAACAGGGGAGAAGGGGAAGGGTAAAAGAATGAGGGAGAATGAGATAAAGTAGAAGAAGATGGAAATGAAAAAGAAAACAAAAAAGGAGAAGAAAGGGGGGGGGGGCATGGTTGGTCATGAACACTCTAGCAAAGCATAGAGAGTCATAGACCGAATTTTCCGTCTCTTTCGTTCGTTAGCCTCTTATTGGGGTAGGGTCGGCTCTCTCTTTAGAGACGGAAACCGTCTATACACATTCCCTTGATAACGCCACGGCCATTTCAGGTCGTAGCGTTTTGCCCCCAAAATCCCCCAAAATGTCATTTTACCTCGTGCATGTTAGACTCTATATTGTAAATTAGGCCTAGATCTAGGCTATAATAAATCAGTTCCACTTACCAACTTGACTGAAATAATCAGTTTAATAGTCCCTTTTTAGGAATTTATGGGTCAAAATCGAAATCCATGTTGAAAAAGATTTTCAAAATGGATTTCGATTTTGACCCATAATTTCCTAAAAAGGGACTATTAAACTGATTATTTCAGTCAAGTTGTTAAGTGGAACCGATGTATTATAGCCTAGGCCTAATTTACATGTGGATATGCACGAGGTAAAATGACATTTTGGGGGATTTTGGGGGCAAAACGCTACGACCTGAAATGGCCGTGGCGTTATCAAGGGAATGTGTATAGACGGTTTCCGTCTCTAAAGAGAGAGCCGGCCGACCCTACCCCAATAAGAGGCTAACGAACGAAAGAGACGGAAAATTCGGTCTAAGAGAGTCAATGCTAAAGCGTATCGACCTCTAGCATTGCATACATGCTGTGAGGCAGGGACCTAGAAGTCTATACACAAGTACACACACCACACAATATCGCATAGACTGTACACAATCATGTCGATGCAGCTGTAAGCAAAGTTTGACACTAGACTTACAATTTGAATTTTTAAATTATTCTTTTTAACATCAGTAAGTTGAAATAAATGTATTTTACTGCTATTTAGGTGTCATCAATTGTCACTAAAGTACTGATTTTGAGTGAAATCAGTTGAGTTTTGTACAGTGGTGTTTGAAATGTCGAGAATCAAAAGCACAGCTTTTACTACACAGCCAGGATAGTGATGCTCCTATGTGTGGTCATGAATGGGAGGAGGATCGATGTGGTACAATACTCGATCAGTAGGGGCAGTGGAACGAGAACGAGGATCATCCGCATAAACAAGGATATCCCTGTAAACGTGGACAAATTGCGTCCTAAAAAGTAAGGATTGTCCGCATCTTCGCTGACGTTATTTTTCATAGGCGCTCTGCGGGTTTCAGGTTAAGGTTCCCGAACTGCGTGCTAGCGATGCAAAAAACCGATTCCGCGTAAGAAAATAATCCCAGTTCACCACGTCTACTTTTGTGGGTTGTCCGTCTTCCCAAGGATTTATCGCTCATAACGTGAAAGTTCATGTAAAATGCATCAAGAAAATCATCGCGGAATCCGTTTTTCGCATTGCCAAATGCGTGGATCGAAAATATGAAACGTCTGCGATAATGCAGACGATCCTTATTCTTGGACCAGCGTCCCAACTGTCGATAGATACCATATTAATAAATTAGTACTAATCTAGAGGGAGAATGATAGAAAAGAGGAGAATATTTCTTGCATGATAATGCTTTATGAATTTCTTTGACTGCCTTTCGTAAAATATGCAGTGAGCAATGATGGACTCGCATCTTTTCTCCAGCTCCAGGATGTAGTTGCAGTTGGATTAGGATAACTTAGCCCATGACTACTGAACTTGTGTATTCCCATAGGCCTTCCACAGGACCCCCCCTGGTTCCAGTATGCAATGAGTTAAGCAGACAAGCAGACAAGATGATGGAGCAAACGTACACCATCCTTGGTGTGAAGCTTGCCTTCCCATGCAAGGCCTATCCTACCCAGCTTTCTATGATGTCCATGGTGAGTCAAGAAAAGGCACCAGGGAAAAAAAAATACACAGGGGCTTGGGAGATTTAGCCACCGAAATACCCCCCCCCCCCAAAAGCCCCGAAAAGTCATAAAAGAGCCCCTAAAATTTGCATTTCAACAAATTAAAGAGTATTATTTTTATGCAAGCAAGCTTGAAAAGTAGTCCCCGAAATGTTTTTAATATTTTTTCCCCTGAAAGGCGCATGTGCAAATCACATAGAGGCACAAAGGCTCAGTCGTAGAGCAGTGGTCTCGTAAACGGGAGGTTCCGGGTTCTGTGGTAAGACATTAATTCTCATTACCAAGTCCCTTGGAGAGGACTCAAAGCCGTGGGTTCCCTGTTTAAAAACAATACTTACAAGCATACACATGCTTTCTCAGCACTCAGTTAAAACAATCATCCTCAAACATGACCCATAAAGCCTTGAATGCATTACCGGTATTATGAAATAGTCTTGGATTACTCTGTAACAGAGTTCAATCTGTTATGAAATAGTGTATACAGATATAAAATAGTGAACATGTTTGCACACATGTGCAATTGCCATAATAACTGTAGAAAAGAAAATAGAAGAGAAAAGGAGGCTTGCATAAAAAAGGGATCTGAAGCTCAAAAGTGATAAAATGAATGAATTTAGAAGGTTTTAGAGAGGGTGTAACTGACAAGGAATTGTGAAAAGAAAGTCAAATGATAAAAATAATAGTTATTAAAAGATTATGAAATATATCTTACCTGAGCATACTGATAATGATCTTGCAGATCATCAAGGGGATCAATCGACGTCAGAACTGTCTTCTAGAGAGTCCTACTGGGAGCGGAAAGAGTCTTGCACTTCTCTGCTCTTCGCTTGCATGGCAGGAAGGAGAAAGAGGTGAGCCAAACAGTTTCCAAGGCTTGATGACAATTTATGTTGAGGGATGCAGACAGGCACCATTTAGATGGATATGTTATCGGTCCGTTAGCATTTACACTTTTCTCGTCTCCATTAGAGGATGTCATTAAACACCATGGCATATCGTGTATGACTTATGCAGACGACACTCAAATTTACCTCGTGCTAAAGAAGGATAACCATGATGTTGCTCTACAAAGACTCAGTGCATGTTTTACAGACATTAAGAATTGGTCCATACAGAATGGATTGAAATTAAATGAAAATAAGACGGAGTGTATACACTTTATTAGCAGACATAGGACTTGTAGTCCGATTGATGATGTATGTCTTGATGGTACTGACATAGAATGTTCTACAGGTGCTAGAAACCTTGGGGTCACATTTGATAATAATCTATCTCTGAAGACTCATGTGAACAATGTATGCAGATCTGCCTCATTTGCGTTGCATAAAATCGGTAGCATCCGTCAGTTTCTTACTAAAAAGACCACCCAGAGACTTGTTCAGTCACTGGTCATGTCTCGTATTGACTTTTGCAACAGTCTTCTGTATGGTCTTCCTGATGCACAAATTAACAAATTGCAGAGAGTACAAAATTCAGCTGCTAGACTTATTGCAAAGCGTCGTTCACGTGAGTCCATCACTCCACTGTTGAAGGAGCTTCACATGCTAAGAGTCCGGGAACGAATTGATTTTAAGATCCTCTTGCTGACTTTCCAATGTTTGACAAAAACAGCTCCAGTCTACCTTCAAAGGCTGATATCAGAATACTTACCCTCCCGCAACCTGCGCTCAAACAAGAAATCACTCTTAATAGTTCCTGCCACCAATACCCAGTCTTATGGTACCCGAACTTTTTATGCAGCATCCCCTCAACTCTGGAACAATTTACCTCAATGTATAAAACAAGCAGATTCAACAGACAAATTCAAATCCATGTTAAAAACCTACTTTTTTGTTAAATAGCCTTTTTCATTTGCATATGCAGCCCCCTCGATTGTCCACTATCTATTATGTATAACTTAATATTTGGCTGTAATTCCTTCTCTTTCTATTTTTCTTAAGCGCTTAGAGACATATTTTGTGATAAGCGCTATACAAATGTTGTTAATTATTATTATTATTAGATTCCCCACAATATTTGTGGATCATTATTTTTGTATAATTTCAATTTTTATTTATTTACAATTTATGTATATGTATATTTGTTTTTGTTTTCTGTAATCTTGCAAACCAATTGTTTACCATATGGGAAGCTTCCAATGAATTCCACTTCCAGCGTAAAAAAAGTTCCATTATCTCTTCTTAAATTAATGTGCTCAGTTGATTTAAGATAACATGAAAGAACAGTATTGCATAATAGTGATTCGTCGTATCATATGAATTTATTTACTTATTCTTGTATTGGAGCTAGTGTCGAAACTATAGCAAATACAATTTTGTATAATTATTAAACATATATTTTGTGTGATTACTTTTTTTTTCTCCAGAGAAACAGCACAAAGCAGCTGCTGAAGACTACAATAAGGCTGACTTCAGTAAGTACGATAGTTTCTAACTTATACAGTAGGCTTGCGGTTGCACCATGTTAGAGAGTGGGATGATTGGGGAGACCTGGAAAGGACTCTCAGGAATCTTTCTTTCTTAAGTGTGTGAAAGAAAGATTACCGAGAGTCCTTTCCAGGTCTCCCCAATCCTCCCCCTCTCTCACATGGTGTAACCGCAAGCCTACTGTATATCGACATCACTGTGCAAGCCGATACTTGTAAGAAGTTTCTAACTTTCTTATACATGATTCATGAAACGATACATTAATTGAAATACCAAAGGAATACGTGATATTACATGTATACCACCCTGACTGGATGTCTTCTTTTTGTCTTTGATTTGTGGTTTGAAGTAAATAAGCATGTCCAGAGACATCATAGGAGAGATAAAAGAAACAAAGTGTTATTGTGTTTGTGCAGAAACTTCAATTTTCCTGAAGAAATCAGTAGCTACAAGTAGTGCAGTGGGGCTTTAACACTCTCCTCAGACCAAGTTTGTTTTCTCTTGTCCTTTGTAGTACCAATCGATGATGATTATGATGATGATGGCGGTATAAAAAAACCATGCACCTGCAGCTGCAACAAGCCTTCAACATCGACCACAGCTCCTAGTACATCTTCCCTTGGGCCTTCAACTTCCACTGCTGTTTCTAGTACTTCACCCCAAGATGTTGCGAAACCTTGCAAAATATCTCCTGCCAATAAATCCGAAGGTATGATCATTATCCAACCCCCCTGCCAGTTTAGATTCTTCATTGATCTGAAAATGTAATTGAGGGAAAGATGGAAAGATGATTTTTAATAATTTCAAACTTTTATTGTAATATGTTCATGTTTACTGCTTTCTAATATAAGTGTAAATGGATACATATAATGGAGTAATTTTTATTTTTCATAATTTGTTTGTTTGTTGTTGTTGTTGTTGTTGTTGTTGTTTTTTTTTTGGGGGGGGGGGGCTTTGTTTTTTCTTATGTTAGATATAATTTGTATTGGTATTTTGAGAACACTTCAACTAATAATAATAGAAATATCTCTCTGTGATTACATGTTCCTGTTGTGTTTGCACATACATCATTTTTTTGAAAATCAAAGCTGTCATTTATGAGAAAGTTGTTGCACCACTTTGTTTCCATTTTGTAGAAAAAGAAATAGAAGAAGATGTCATCCTAGTAGCTGAAGAGAATGTAGAGAAAAACAAAGATGATAACAAGAATGATGATGATGATGACTTTGACTTACCCAGAAAGAAACGTCCTCGAAAGTCAGTTGGTCCAATGGTAAGATTCTAGTGAATTTAGTTGTTTATTTATTTATCTATTTATTTATTCATTTATTTATTTACAGTTTTATTTAAGCATGGTTGCCTCTTCAGTTAACAAACTGCTATCCCTGAGGGCCTTGCACAATAAAAATAATGTATATATATATATAAAATATTTACAGACTAAGTATTAAAGTACAAATTGAACATATAAATAACATAAGAAACAAATAATGAAGACAAAGATAATGAAACCTGTCTATAGCGACCGCCCAAGAAAAGCACAACAAGTGGTCTTTGTAAACAGGTTCCTTTTTTACATGTTTCAATGAGAAACCATTTTCAAGGGAAACAAAAAATGTGGTCTTTGTAGAGAAGTGGTCACTAAAGCAAATTTGACTGTATAAGAAAAAATATGACAACAATAATGTAAAGTGTAACTGATTATAAACATACGGCTTGATCAATCTTTTAACGGACATTGTGTTGATTCCGAAAAAGAAATATGGAAGTATTCTTAATCTTGCTATTTTTGTACTATAGAAATTATTAGTAACAGAAGTGCTGTTGATTAAGTTTAACATGATGATTGTCGCTTGAATCAAGAAATGTCTTGAAACATGAAAAGATCACATTTCCTCTATCCCTTAAGCCGTCTGTATGTACCAGGCCTGATAATTACCCGATTTAAATCGGTTTCTCGATTGTTTTTTTCTTCCCGATTTTTTTTCTTTCCCCGATCTTTTTTTCTTCTTTTTTTTCTTCCCGATTTTATCCTGATTGTCCTGATTTTCCTGATTTATTTATATTCTTCCTATTTTCCCCTAATATTCCCAATTTTTCCCAATTTTCTTACTCAAAAGGTGGGGAATGTTGTTATGCCATCTTTTTTTCCCTGAATCCTCTTTTAACATTTTTTTTTACTCAAAGGGGAGTGGTTGAGGATTAAAAAAAATATATATATATGCTCAGGAGGTATCAATGTAGCACATTAAGTAAAATGTTCTTGGGATAATATAGTATTAATGACTGCTTTGAGAGAAATAGTTGTTTTATTACGCTCAAGGGAAGGTTAGAATTGTGCTATTCCCCGAGGCTTGCCGAGGGGAATAGCCCAATTGTAACCTTCCCGAGAGCGTATGAAAACAACTATTTCTCGAATATTAAAGCAGTCATTAATACTTTTATATGCCGAAAAAAAATAGACTAAAAAATAAAAAATAAAAAATAATTTACATTTTTGTCGAAGACGGGATTCGAACTCTTGCGTACAACAAGAGGTGTATCTTAAACCAACGCTTAGACCACTCGGCTATCGCGCGCCGTTAACATGCTTGGCAGTTTTCTCCAATATATACATTAAAATGGATTGAAAACGGCTCCGCGTGAGGGATGCTCCGCAAAAGCTCCATGAAACGGACCCTTCTTTTACTTTTGCAATGCATATTGGCACGAACTTAGATCAAGATCTATCGGCAGATGTTGTTTTTTGGTTTTTGAGAGTTTATTTTCGTCTTCATGTCAACAATGCAAGATAAAATTGTCGGTAAGATCGATCGAGATTCAATTGTATTGAAATTGCCGACCAATTTTTCGCACACGTATGGTATCCTCCATCGCTCAAACCATTTTTTAACATGTAAACCTATGGGGTAACCATGGAGACTGACCTATTTTTTTAATAACCATGGTTATTAAAAATATTGAAATGTTTTAAGCATGGTTACCGGGAATTTTACAGGAACAGTTGAAGTTTATGAATGCAATTCGACCAATCAGATGGCTGGATTTCTTAAGTGAGGTATATAATTTATACTATAATAGTTCAGGATTGTATTCATGTTTTTCAAATTACTATCCATGTTGTCTGATTTATTTTTCCAAATCTAGGGTACCGCCAAGAAAACAAAGCATCAGAAAGGAGTAGTCTTTGATGAAGACATTGAAGACGTTTCACAACAATCTCCTAATCCTCATACCAAGGCCCACTGGGAGATGAAACTAGTCACCCCTCAAGGTAAAAAACTTCAAATAGGCACATTTTTAATCATAGAGAATTACCCAAGGTCAGGTTGAGGGTCAACGGAAACGTGGTAGGCCAAAAGTTTGATGGGCTGATGGAATAAAAGAGATTACTGGCATGAACATACATGTATGCACAGCTAATCCCTTTGCCCAGGATAGAAGGGGTTGGAACTTCATCATCAATAGGGTCACAAAAGGTCAGTCATGACTTGTAGGACAACGACGCCGAATTAACTAATAGTACATACACATCACAAAATATATACAGACACACACATTTGATGTCGCTCCTGTAGCTAAAGCTGTAGCCAGTAAGTTGTAAGCTTTAAATAATGCTAAGTTTCCATGTAATTGCTTTTGTAGATCATTTTGATTTGACATTCAGTTTTAGGATTTGGTTCAGCAATGTAAAATATTGATGAAATGTTTTTCCTATGAATTCCTCATATAATACCAGATCAAGGGGGTGTTTCACAAAGATCATACGTTGAACTTATCTCTAAGTTGGACTTAACAATTATGGAAAGCCGTTAGCATCTTCGAAATTTTTTTGTAAAAGATATTTTAAAAGGCATAAATGTTGATTCAAATCATTCATATATCTATTATCAAAGAGATGTCATGTTCTTGATGTGGAATTTATGATAAGTCCTAATTACTTGGAATTTTTGCTTTTGAATATATCTGATTTTAAGGCTACAAATGGCTCTCCATAATGTTTCAGTCCAACTTGGAGTTAAGGTCGACTTAGGATCTTTGTGAAACGCCCCCCAAGTTTACTCTCTCTATTCAAAGACTGTTAACTCTTTGTAATTTTGTAGAATTATCCTTAATGGTTTCAGTTTGGCATTCACATAGAAAATTCAACAACATTCTGCTGTGTCTCCTCTAGCTAAAGCAGGAGCCAGTGAGCTGTCAGCTTCAAAGAGTGATACGTCTTCATGCACCTGCTCCTGCCATTCTTCAAAATGCCAGAAGATGATGGACCAGGAGGAGAAGAATGTGAAGAGAGATGGAGATGCTAAACCAATAAAGTGAGTTTCAAAATCAAAGCAGAGCGAGTATTTGTATTTGTAAATGGACAACGTAGAGAACAATATCAAGTATACATCAATTATAAGTGTAAGCAAAGCAATTACAATTCCTGATGTGATTCTGGCTTCTTTCATTAAGTTATTTCTGCCCTATTGATGCCTCTGAGTAACACACCAAAGTCAGAGTAAAATAGAATTATATAATATTTGTTTCATTGATGAAAAATTTGCTATTTGTTGTAGATGTTTGTATATTAAATTTCAGAGCACATCAAAGCCTCGTGTGTAATTTATTGTTTACTTTCTAGAGACAGTGAGTGAGCATTTGCGTATAAAAAAGTCACAAAAAGGTTATCATGTTGTTTTCTATTCTTATTAAATGGTAAATAACTAATGTACATTCTTTATTCAGGGTGCCCCGGATCTACTTTGGTACAAGAACCCACAAGCAGATTGCTCAGATTATACGAGAGCTAGGCAGGACTGCATACAAGTCAGTCAGGTAAAGTATACATCCATTTAATTCTCCACACATCATTTCATGAGAGTGAAGAGAAACGGAGGGAGGGAGGGAGGGAGGGAGGGAGGAAGGGAGGGAGGGAGGGAGGGAGGGAGGGAGGGAGGAAGGGAGGGAGGGAGGGAGGGAGGGAGGGAGGGAGGGGAAGGGGGAGAGGGAGGGAAGGAGGGAAGGAGGGAGGGAGGGGGAGGGAGGGAGAGGTGAACCCAGTGTTACTCTTATTTGACATCTTGTCATATTTTTTCAATGTCCATTTGTCAAACACGTTAACTATCTGGTGTTGAACCTACTGTCATTGTATATAATTTCAATTTTATGCCAAAATATGTTGCATCATGTGGTAATTAGATAATTTGTTATTGCCCTGCCAATAGTAAACACAGTTAAGATTGACAGCTCTTTTATCACAGAAAAAAATGTGATTCAGAGTTTTATTCAAATTGACAAAATGTAACCAGATTATATCATTGAATTTTGTTGCTAACCCTGCTACTTTTGTGTAAATTTTGTTTGAATGCTAGTAACATGTCTCTCTGTCTACAGAATGAGCATCCTAGGAAGCAGAGAACATACCTGCGTACATCCTGAAGTCTCTAGGAGTAAGAACAAGAATGAGGGATGCAAGGATCTACTGGATGACAAAACGGTGAGTTGGTGAATAATTGTCATTTTGAATGTTCTATTTTATCATGATTTGAATACATCAGGGCTCCGTCTTATAAAGAGTTGATATCAAGCGCAACTTATTTGTGATTGTGATCAATCGCAACTATGTACATAAGAGATAGAAGACCGTTAACTTGCGATTGTTTGGAGGAGTTACGATTGATTTGGATCAATCGCAACTCTTTGTAAGACGGAGCCCAGAACTACATTGATGACCCATAGTCATAGAGCAACTACTCCGAAGATCAAGATACATTAATCTTGATCTAAGGAGACATGAACGAACGATAAAACAAGAGCACTTATGTATGCAGAGGAATTTTATCTTGTGTCAGATAATGCCCTTTTGTGGCTCTGCAACCATGATTTGTCACTTTAGCTGCAAGACATCATACCAAAGAAATATATATATAGTTTGACAGAGGTCTTGTCAATAATTGAAGTAAGTTAATCTAATAGTGGAGGTTAGAAAGAATTGAAAACAGTTTTTCAGTTTTTTTTTCAAGTTTACAGTTCAGAAGAATTGTCATGATTGCTTGACAACATTGGTCTCCTAGAAATGAATAGGTGCAATATCTGTAGCAAACAAAGTTAAATGAAACTAAATGTTACAATTTTTACTCATACTGCTTAAAGATAAAGACCAGTTATGGTCATGCGATTGCATTGTGAAAGAAACGTTGTGGAATCGATCAGAAAAGGTTGATCATCTAGCATAGATGTACTGCAAGGTTCTGGAATCGTCAAAATGATAAGAAATTTGGCCCAGTCTTCATAAAGTTACAAGCACTGTACACAGAAAGATGTATATGGGACTACACACAGGTGCGCGACACGTGCGTTTTTATCTCTCACACACCAATAGATACTAATTTACCAAATATATCAATTAGTAGGCGGTTTCCCGGCAAATTTTTTATCATCATGTATAATTCAAAACATATTCTTTCACATGATTGGTAATAAGAGCTTCCATTTCATATTTTGAAATTTGGGCGTTTCCAATACTGGTCTTTACCTTTAATATATGATCAAGAAGATTTCATACAGAATACAGGAATACAGGTTTTATACATTTTGATGTTCAGGGAGGAACATGCATTTTGTTTGTTACTAGTGTTCACAAGATGAAACAGCAATGTCAATGACAGAACTTGTTTAAAAACGTATGATATAGATATATCGGTTTGGGAACAAAAATCATCAGTATTGCAGTAGATAGTCTTTTGTTAGAATCACTTTGATCGCATGATTTGTTTTGTTTGATTTCATGCGTAGGGAGGAACATGCAAGTTCTTTACCAACGTCCACAAGGTGAAACAGCAATGCCAGAACTTGTTTAAAAACATATGATCCAAATATATCAGTTTGCTAACGAAAATAATCAGTATTGCAGTAGATAATCTTTTGTTAGAATCACTTTGATTGTACAGTCAAACCTGTAGCGAACGCCCAAGTAAAACTTAAAAAGTGGTCCTTGAAGACAAGTGGTCTTTGTAGACAGGTTCCTTTAGTATATGTTTCAATGAGAACCAATTTCAAGGGAAACAAAAAATGTGGCCTTTGTAGACAGGTGGTCACTTAAGCAGGTTTGACTGTATTTATTTTGTTTGATTTCATGCGTAGGGAGGAACATGCAAGTTCTTTACCAACGTCCACAAGATGAAGCAGCAATGGCAGATCCGCGACTATGGACTCACAGAGGCTTGGGACATAGAGGATCTAGTCGCTCTGGGAAAGCGGGTCAAGGTAAGAGCCATGTCACACCAAAGAGACCAACACCAGGGGAGTGTTTCACAAAGACTAAGATCAACTTTACTTTGGACTTAACTATGGCAGGCCATTCATGCCACTGGTTCCTCTAACCATTCCTTGCATTGGTTTTCTCAAGGGACGTACAAATCATGGTCACAAATCTACCGATTTTTTTGATTTTTTAATTTTTTATTGTTCATTATTGAAAGAAAACATATATTATCTAAAGACCATAATTGAGAGACCAATGGTGAGAGCAGCCAGTGGCATGTGTAGCCTGCCATAGTTAAGTCCAACTTCAATTCGATCTTGGTCTTTGTGAATCACCTCCTGACCGACAGCAGACCGAAAAAACCCATTGCATTTATACCCAAAATGATTAACATTTTTGGTCAGTTTGTAGTCGATGTGGAGTGGGTTTGACGCTCTGACTGTGGTATGAAGGTTGATCTTTGTAATAGAATTTAGCTTGGCTGATAGGCTATTTTGTGGTTGATATTTGTAAAATCAAGAACATTCTTGAGCTGAAACTTGGCACATTGTCAATGATTACCTCTTTCATTGCTTATAACAGTTTTTGGACTTAAAAGTTAATTGGTTTTCACTAGTTTGATGCCATTTTTGTCAGGAGTTCTAAATGCCAATTATTGCTTTTCCCATCAAGTTTTGAGTTTCCTTACATAAAATGAATAATCTATTTTGTAATGTCCAAATATCCGTGCAGTTCAAGGTTCTTCTCTGCCGAAAACTGATAGCCTAGTTACAATCATGCTTACATTAGGGAGTTGAATGTTGACCTGATGTGGCTCTTTCCTTTTCAGGCTTGTCCATACTTCTCATCTAGATCTCTGAAGGACCAGGCTGACGTGATCTTCTGTCCATACAACTACCTCATCGATCCTATGATTAGACAATCGGTAGGTCATCTCCACGATTATTATCTATCATCTTCATCCCTCTTCATATTCTCCTGTGTTATCGCTATTCTTTGAATTTATTGCATTATTGACATCTTTCTGTGTTGCTCCGCTGTACTGTCTGTTTCAATCTGAACAAATAAAATGGATTTGAGAGTTGAACGTTATCTCTTTTCTCACCACCCCCACTCTCTCATCTTTCTCTCTCTCTCTCTCTCTCTCACCCTCTCACACTCTCTCTCTCTCTCTCTCTCTCTCTCTCTCACCCACCCTCTCTCAAGCCTCTCTGTATCTTCTCTACTCTTTCTCGCATTCTCTTATTAGTGTGGATTTGAATGTGGAATCTTCTTTTACATGTAATCCATTGAGAGGGAAATTGAAAGTAGTTGTCCTAGATGAAACGTATAGGACTTGGATTTCTATCTCTGTCTGCCTCTGTCTCTGTATTTATCTATCTCTGTCTGTCTGTTTGTTTATCTCTGTCTCCACCTGTCTCTCTCAGTCTCTCTGTCTGTCTGTCTGTCTTAATCTCTTCCCCCCTCAACCTCATTGTTCATCTCTATTTATTTATGTATTTATGTGTGTGTCTGTCTCTACCTCTACCTCTCTGTCTCTGTCTATCACTCTCTCCCCCTCAATTAAATTTGAATGTGTCATTCTCACCTATATCCATGTATTTAGATGGAGATTGATCTGAAGGATCAGGTCGTGATCCTGGACGAAGCCCATAACATTGAGGATTCCGCCCGGGAAGCCGCTAGTCTCACAGTCACCTCAGAACAACTTCAAGATGCTACCGATGAGCTTGACAAACTCTGTAAGTTAACGATACAATCTGATATTTGTTAAATTCTCCTCTGCATCTGTTTCGCATTTGATGATGTATGCAATATTAGACTAAAATTGATGTCAGTTTGTTTGTTAGGAAAAACTATAAATAATTCAGAAGTATCTTAACCAGTTGACTACGGAATGTATTAATTCCCATAGGCTTAATTCAAGGGGCCCCTTTGTTCCAGTGGGCAAGGGGTTACATACCAGTAAATTATCATGAATGAAATGAATATATAATAACCCTGTATGCGTTCATATCCATTCCCTTTCAGTGACTTTCAAGTTTCGTGAAGAACACACCAGAGTAATACACAGTGTGGTAAGAAATTAAGATCTTTCCTGCAAATTGTTAGAATTTATATTGCTTTGATAACAGTTTTCATACCAACCATTGAGATCCATGATCAGTAATTGCAAATTGTACATTTCCTACGGGGTAGAGGTCCAAGATGATTGCCAAGGTGGAATGGGGAGGGGGGGGGGGATAATGTTTGTTGGGGGTAGTTGTACGAGTATGTTTCTTGGGAGGGGGGGGGGTAGATGATCAGAGATTTTTTTCCAGGGAAAGAGGTACATCTGCATGTACAAGAGTAGTCGTTATGATACTCTACCAAAGTTCTCCTGAGCATTACAAAAAACAATTATTTCCACCACAAGTTTGAACTTTCCTCTTTTATTTTGTGTGTATTTATTCATTTTTATTTTACTTTCATTTTTAGGAACATAAAGGAGTATAACAGTAACAAAGAATACCACTTTTATCTTTGTTTCTATAATAAATCTTCCAATATTGCTATATTGCATATCTCCCCCATCAATAATTATCAATACTTCCAAAAAACTCTCCATACTGCATCTCTTTTAGAGTTCCAGTCTTCTCCGATGGATCAACGACTACTCCAGCACGCTGCGGCAGAACGACTTTGATCGAGCTTCAAGGATGTGGTCTGGCCAGGAGATGGTGGCTGCCCTGGCCAACATGGGCATCTCACCTGCAACTCTGCCTACTCTACAGGTACTCTAGCAAAAAAAAAGTCAAAAATGCTTTCTTTTTATTGTGGCTCTCTTTATTTATTGCAACTCTCATATTCTGAAACGAAATCCTGGATTTAGCTCATGCTGCAATCATTATCATAAACCTTTAGGTCAGTCAGGAATCCCATTAATTTTACAAACCGATCGCCTGTCTGATTATCTGATTGCAAATCGAAATCATATTTTGCATTTTCCTAACGGTTTTCATGACACTACAGTCTATTGGGGGAAAAAAGTATGGTAAAACCGGTCACTCAAAGATTTTTACTTTTTGAGGCACTTCTTGATCATTTTGAAGCGCAATTTTTTTAGGGCTTTATTATTACACCATATTACAGACCCTGAGAACATGTAGGGCCATGCATCTCAGATTTAACAGTGTTAAACGATGCCTTTAAAGAGAGTTGCATATGTCCCTTTGTCAATAATTTAAAGAATTCTCTGATTTGTTGTCTTCTTTACCTCACATATGTAGTGTAATGTAACTTAGATATAATAATAATACTGTATATTTGTTAACCTAGTTTGATACAAAGTTTTGATGAAATCCATCAGAAATCTGTTTTGAATGAAACTAAAGCTGTCTTTATTGAGTGAAATATTAATTTGCAACCAATGCAATTTGATTTGTAAAGCTCACAGAGATGGAAATATACACGATTAGCAATATCAAGTAAATTAAAGTAACTTTTTAATTGGAACATTTGAAGCCAGCATCATGAGCTTCTGGTTGAGGCTTACATGCCAGCTATTTACAAGAAGCCATCACCATTTTATGGTATGGTATGGTATGGTATTTATTGAAACATGCATCGCAGTTACATATACTGAATTGCACATGGATATACATTGCATTTTAAAAACGAGAGTACAATTAAAAACAGTATCATTTACATAATTATAGGTACACGTATTATGTCACATAAAGAAAAGAGGTTAAAAAGGGAAAGGGAGAGAGAGAGAGAGAGAGAGAGAGAGAGAGAGGAGAGAGGGAGAGGAGGAGAGAGGGAAGGAAAGTAAGAGAAATAGAAAGAAAGGATAAGAGAGCGAGAGATATAGTGAAGAAAGAGAAAGAGCAGGAAAGATAGAAAGATGGAGAAAGAGAGAAAAAGAGAGAGAGAGGAAGGAGAGAGAGAGAGAGGTGAAGGAGAGAGAGAGAGAGAGAGAGAAAGAGGGAAGAGAAAGAGAGAGAGAGAGAGAGAGAGAGAGAGGCAAGAGGTAAAGAAGGGGGAGGAGAGAAGGGGGAACTTGCCAACAATTAAAAATTACATACAAATTGACGATAAAAAGATAAAAGTATGCATTGCAACATTGACATTACGAATAGTATTAATAAGAAGAACAAAAATCTGACTGACATGAGCGCTATCCAAGAACCCACTATTATTATTATTATTTTAGCTCACCTAAAAATCTTTTGGTAAGTTGTAAAATGTATAAATGAGAATGTTTTCTTTTTTAACGCAGATGGTAGTAAAAACATTTTAAAAAGGATAAAACAACCTTTTTAAGAAAATATTTATATATAACAACTAAATACAGGCGGATATAGCACAGAAGCAAGATTCAAAAGGAGTAATTGCAGACCTGCGTAAACTAATAGTGTTAAGATAAAATAACGGGCAACCAGAGGCAATTTAAAGTAATACATGTAATTATGAAATCGACAGTATACAATGCGAAGAGTAAAGATAATTAACTGATAAATTGAGGTAAAGCGTATTGCAAATATTTACATTATGTTTCTACATTTAGCAATAATATAATTGTTCAATCCAAGATATTTAATTGAATCTGAAATATAATGCATTAAGATTCGGCGAATTGTAGATGTGTTCAGGCAAAGATTGCAATTTGAGAATGAATTATAATAAGCAGATTGTGATTTAAAAGAGGCTTTAGATAACTGGCAATAATTCATATAAAGAAAAAAAAACATGGGAAAGAAATGAGGTTACTAAAGATGACCGTAATTGTATCTTGATACAGAAATTGAAGTTATATTGACAAAAATACATGTAATTCACAAAGTTTGGCAGTATTATGCTATCAAAAAAAATTGAACAGACCGGATGCCACATCATGGCTGGTTTAAAAGCCTTACTAGATAGGGTAAAGCACTTTTTCTGTAGCGTTCTGTCCTACACTTGATTTCACGTAGCCTATTACTATGTCTCAATTGTCTTCGAGAACACTGGCTTTCAGGTAACCACTCACGAAAGTTACAGTAGAGGGACCTAGCGAAGTTTAGACAGAGCTCTTCTCTTCTGTCTCTCAGAGACGACAGATTACACACTGTGAGAGCCTGACGGTAGGATTCATATCTTAGTCCTAATATTGTCCGCAGGGCACGCTTCTGGATTGACTCTATTTGAGCTTCCTGGTTTAGAGTTAGTGAGGAATGCCATACTACACAACAGTATTCTAGCACCGGTCTTATGTAGGACGTAAAAACTGTGATCAAATCTTGAAGTGGCATAGAGAAACGTTTGAGCATCCGTAGCAGGTAGAGTTTCTTGGCTGCTTTTGATGTAATGCAGTTGACGTGTTCCAACCACCGAAGATCACTGCTAAGAACGACGCCAAGCAATTTCACGTGTTGCTTGTCCGGGATTTGATTTTCGCCGATCATAACTTCCGCTGGTGGGAGCTGTCGACGAGCAAATGATACCCTCATGAGTTGGCATTTGGATGGGTTTAGACGCATATTCGAGTCCTTACACCATTCTTCAAATACAGACAATGTAGCATTAAGACAACTTGGTGAATTTGATCGGCGTGTTTCTGCAACAGTAAGGTCATCTACATACTTCCATCTAGAGCAGTCAGATGACTGGAGGGCATCGTTGACAGTGGCTAAGAAAACCAGAGGTCCAAGTCGCGTCCCTTGAGGAACACCGACTGAAGTGGCGAGTGTTGTTGAAAGTTGGTCTTTGTACCGCACTTGCTGAGTTCGCTCACCAAGGAAGCTGCATAACCAAGGAAGTAAGGATGGCCGTGCACCCATTGTGTAGATTTTTGTGATTGCTACGTTATGGTTTACTAAGTCGAAGGCTTTGGAAAAATCCGTAAGCACCACACTCGTAATTGATCCAGATTTGTCAGCATTCGAATGGAGGTATTCCAGCAGGCTTAAAAGGTAATGGCTCGTTGACCAACCAGGACGATTGCTGAACTGCTGAGGATCGATTTCGTGAGATATGTCATTCAAGATCATTTTAGATGCAAACAGTTCCAACAACTTCGCGAAGAAGTCAGTCAGGGCGACAGGGCGCAACTTCTGTAACGTCGCAGGAGTTTCTTTGGGAACAGGAACAATGATGGACCTCTTCCAATGACTTGGAACCCTGCTTTGTTGAAACGACGCATTAAAAATGTCGCAGAGAGGTGAACTGAGTTCCACTGCGAATTCCCGAATCAACCGTGGTGAGATTCCGTCCGGTCCACCACTTTTTCCAACTGGGGTTTTGGACAGTTCTCTGTAAACTGTCCAGGGTTGTATGGTTGGCAAAGTGTCCAGCTGAATCGGTCTGAACGCAGGAATTTCGCTCAAATCAAGGGATGGGGTGTCCTTTCCGATGCTTACGAAGTACGAGTTTATGGCATTTGCTATTGCCAACTTGTCCGAAGTATTGATATCTGGCAAGGAAATAGACGTGTCTTGTTGCCTATTCGAAGTCATCAGTTTGATATATTTATACCATGATGCGGGGTTTTCGCGTTTCAGATGTTGGACGCGGTCCTTATAAAACACTCTTTTCGCATGAGTGATCGCTTGCTGCACTTTGTTTCGAAGACTACGCCAATTCGGGGAGCCTGAGTGGAAGGCCCTTTGTCGTTGATGTATTAGGTCTTTGACCTTGGTTGTCATCCAAGGCTTATCCATCATATGCAGCTTTACGGACTTGGTTGGGAAGTGAGTGTTGATTGCCGCGTTCAAATCATTATAGAACACCTCACATTTGCGTTCTACATCCGTTTCTTGATAAACACTTATCCAATCGTGGTGTGTTATCCAACTGCCGAATTCGCGCACATCCGATTGACGCATCGGTCTGACAGTTTTCTGTCTGACTTCATTTCTCCTGGATGATTGCTGTTTTGGCCTCCATATGACTCCATTATGGTCGCTCATTCCAATTGGGGCAACAATTTGTATGACAGAGTACAAACTCTTCATATTGGTAATGATCAAGTCCAGCATAGAAAGGTTACGCGTTGGACGATTTACTACCTGCTTCAGGCTGTGTCCAGCAAGGAGGGGAGATACATCAGCTCGATTAAAATCACCAGAGATGATGATTCCTGCCAAAGGGTGTCTCAGAAGAATATGATCAACAGCCCGTGTAAGGTAATGAATAAGGCTATCCACATGAGCATTGATTGGGGGTGAGTACACTGATGCCACAAATATTGAAGAGACGTTCCTAGGTAACCGTGTTGGTCGGATGTGCGTCCAAACAACCTCATGTTCTTCCGGAACGTCTATGTGGGTTTCAGTGGGGTTCATAGTAGATTTCACATAGATGGCGACTCCTCCACCTCGTTGGGAAACTCGGCTCTTGTGCAGTAAGTTGTAGTTTGGAATGCTGAACGCGGTCTCTGGAACACTATCTTGGAACCAGGTCTCACTCACACAAACAATGTCCATGTCATAATTTTGAACAACAAAAGTGAATTCGTCGAACTTATTATTCAATGATCTTGCGTTAAGCATGTACATAGAAGGTAGAGATGGTGATTGATTAGGCAGGGTCTCAATGTGCCTCAATGTTCTTGTCCTGGTCACGATGGGCTTTTCGTCTTGATTTAGGTGGCGAGAATAACAATCAACAACAACTTTTATTCGTCGCCGGATCTTTTTTCCTGCCCGACATCCTCTTTTACGAGCAATTCCAAGTTCATGTATAGTTTCAAACGCATCTCGAGGTATACGACTTTTCGGTTGAGAGCGTAACCTGAAAAGTTCATTACTCGTATAACGAATCACTCTGTCCTGTCCGTCGACCGACGGGTGGCTTTTGTCCGGGGGATGGCTATTGTCTGGAGCCATTCCATTGTCAGACAGCACAATGCTTGCTGAAAGTAACAAAAGCAGGGTTACAACCCTGTACGTCCAGCTATCATGGCCAGTAAATCGCCGATGGTATAACATGTCACTGCACGGTTCAATTTGGTATATATTGACATATAGAGTCAGAAGTAAGATGTATCAATTAGTATCAGATAGTAATATCCTTGTCATGTTTTTTGCCTTGTTTGAACCAAATACCAATGCTGTATTTCTATATGAGTGGAACATGATAGTTTTTTTTCATGCTGTTATGGATTCATATACAGTCAAACCTGCTATAGTGACCACCAGTATAGAAAGACCACCTGTCTACAAAGACCACATTTGTTGTTTCCTTTGAAAATGGTTTCTAGTTTAAACATGAACTAAAGGAACCTGTACATAAAGACCACCTGCCTATAAAGACCACTTTTCTTGTATCTTCTTCCTCTTCTTCTTCTAAGAAAAGTTGCTGTGAGGAGCCTGTGTGAGACTGCTGGCCAGAATCCTTGTGCATATATATATATATATATATATAATATACAGGGTGCAAGTAATTTGTTTTAATCCTATGAGGGGGTTAGGGGTCCCTTGGGTGGTTTTTATAGACAGGTTTCACTGTATGTTTTATCTTTGTATTCCATAGCATCATCTGTCAGCCCTGATGGAAGATGAGGATGAGAGAGGGATCAAGGAGATGGGACCGACCTTGGGCGTCCTTACAGGAGCTCTCTTCAACAGTCTCTTTGTCATCTTTAATTTCATGTTCAAGGACGATATGAAGTTCACCAAAGATTACAAGTAAGCTCTGCTCTGCTGCTCCATACCTATCAACATTTGAAGATAAGAATCAAGAATTTCTAGCAGGGTTTGCACGGCCTAATACCATGGCCATGTATGCAGCGGCAGTTACGGTGTCAATGGCAATACGCGGTAAATCTGTACAAAAAAGCGAATACAAATTTGCTGCTCGATTGTGCGAACTCGTGCGAACTCTCAAATCGCGGCACATGATGAAACAAGCTGAATTTATCGTTTCAAAATATTTTACAAAATTTTACAAAATCAAGTCTTTCATTTTGAAAAATCAAAATATTTTTGAATTTTCTAGGTCCTAAAAGTCCAGAAAATCAGAATATTCTGGAAAATTTGGAATGGTTGGCAGATATGCTGCTTGAGTAAGAGAAAAAAATATTAATTAACATGGAAAGCTGTTCAAAATGCTGATCATTTTCCTGTCTTTATTTTTGCTATGGTTTGAACACTAGTCTGCCAAATAATTTATTACGTTCCATACAAGTTGGGCATGTGTGACAAAAGGCAACTGTAGCGTTTTGATGTTGTTCCAAAGTCAAAGCGGATTAAAAGTTAATACGAAAAATTTACGCTAGTGTAGATGTACCAAGAGTCCTTTCCCTGTGTAAATATGGACGTAAAATGATGAATTGAAATCCAATATTTATAATAGGAAGTACATGTATAAGGAATGCTGTACTATAGTGTTTGATTCATGTTATGTAATTTGTCTTGCTGCCTCGAAAATCAATAAATTTGATATGCTTCAACTTTATGTGTGTTTAAATATTCGTTATTGCCAGGGTTGCATTGCTGAAGACCAAAGCAAGAAATCAGTTTCCTAACACAGTAAGTGTAATCCTTTTATTATCCTGTGTTTTCTTTATGTACTCTATCTAAATTTGTATCGTGACTTGAAACTCACTTTGAATATTCAGTTTTAGTTGCCTATTCATATGAATATTTAACTCAAGTTTTAAGATGTTAAATCCTCACATGTGAAGCGTTTCTTCATACAAGAACTTTTAAAAGATCTGGGCCCGTTGCATAAAACTTACCCTTGATGGTAACTTTGCCTTCAATGGTAAGTTTTGTGCAACGGGCCCAGATAATGCAAAGGAAAATATAAATCAAATGGATATAAATGTCTGTATATTTGTATTATGTTTATGTTGAATGTAAAAATATTATTGGGTCAATAAAAACTAATCAAATATAAAAAAATAAAAAAAAATCAAAAAATTAAATGTTAAAAATTGATAAGGATAAAAGTTGACAAGAGAAATTTCCACTTCATATCATTTATTTTATACACTACAGCTGATGAAAAAGCTCAGCTGCTATTTTGAACAGAATGGTGAAAATTTCAAGTAATTGTATAATTACTTGAACTAAGGATGGTACATGTAGCATTAAGATACCGATGTCATAACATTTTTAGTTATTACTTGTACTGAAGCCCTTTTCCCCCTTCTATTTTTATTTTGCAGAACAATACATGGATCCAAAGAAGAAGAAGAAGTAAGTTAACCGTTAGTGAGATTGAGTTCATGTTCTTCTCTGTATATTTATTCATTTTGGTTCTGTAGAGAGGTGATACAACTAATGTCCTTTGGCAAGACATTGATCTACATTTGCCACACTCCGCCCAGGTGAGGTAAATGGGTACCTGGTAGGAATTTATTCCTTGAAATGCTAGAGCGCCGTATGGCAGCCGTGCTAAAGCCAGGGTAATAATCGGGAGTGCCAGGAGGGTCAAATCTGACTGACATAAACGCTATACAAAAACCCACTATTATTATTATTATTATTATTATATGATCATATCACTATTAAGGATGGTATTAAGGAGAAGACAGTTCATACTTCCTGAACAGTGGTATACTCCCAGCTTAACTCCCTAAAGCCTTGTAATATGCTTACAAGATGTTGGGTTTCTCCGTCTTCTATATCGATCAGCAGGAGTTTTTCTTTTATTTTTTTACTTTACTCTATTTTTTTGTTTTCTACTTTGCTGATGAGACCTTTTCCCCATATTAGACCCCATTTACTAATTAGTCAGCATTTGAAAATGCCATCCAGACGTTTTTATGAAATTGTAATTTCACACAAGTACTCACTATTAATTTTGAATTTATCAATGCTGTATTTCTTTTTATCTTTAAAACCAGGCGCGGAAGCCGTGTTTACATTATCATTGAACTTTTGGTGCCTGAACCCAGCCGTTGTAAGTCTTGATTTCATTCTTATCCCACAGCCAAAGGGAACAAAGTGTTTCCTGTACTCAATCTTTGAGAGTGACAGAATTCAAATGTCCTCAGGGTGATACATATATGACACATTGGAATTGTGAAATGTGCCAGCCACTTTGAGAGTAAAAGAAAATTAACTTCCCCTGTTCTACTTGCTGTCAGCTATTCAGTTAACTTGGTAAAAATTAGTGAAATCTAGATTTGTACAAATTAAAGAATATTGATACAACTGATCAAGTGTTAAAATGCTCATGTGACTCACAAAAGATGGCCATAAATGGTAATTCTGAAAGTTTTTAGAACTTAATAAATCCTGAGCACCATACCTTGTAAACAATAATAATAATAATAGTAATAATAATAAATAATAATAATAATAATATTCAGCTTTTATAAAGCGCTTAATACATCAACGATGTCTCTAAGCGCTTTACAGATATATTATTACCCCGGTCATCGGATTCAGGCTTACCCGCACACAATGTATGCACATTCTCCACTCTCTGGGGAGCATTCCAGCCAGGCATCATTTCTACAAGCGCACACTTGCTCATCTAACCACATTAAATTTCGCATCAGAAGCATCATGCTTTGCAGTGTTGTTGGTATGAATTATTTTGATTCTGTTCATGTCATTATCATCATGAATCCTTTTTACAGGCTTTCACAGACTTTGGTGAAGCAGTAAGGACGATCATCCTGACCTCAGGAACTCTATCTCCAATGAGTTCCTTTGCTTCAGAGCTAGGAGTCTCCTTTCCTATCCAGCTGGAAGCAAACCATGTCATCAACAAATCTCAGGTAAATAACTTCCCACGCTTATTTGCTCCACCTAGTTTTTTCATTATGCATACACATTTTTACT